AAGGCTTAACAATAAGAATCGTTGAATATTTAAATTATATATCGATTATAGGAAAACCTAAATGTTAATAGATGTCATCACACGTACATTTCTTGATGTATTCCTTCCTTCTACACTTAGTTTTCCGCTTTTAAACATTTCTTTTAAACATTGACCATTTGAGTAAAGACAATAAGAACAAATTTTAATGTTTTGTATATATCAAAGGTGTTTAGCTGATGAATTTGTAATTTTATGATTACAGACATCAGCTTTTAAAAATGTTTCTTTAGCAACATCCATTACCTAGAATATTGCAAAGAATCTTTCCCTAGACAAACTTCAGCTAACATTTTATAAAAATTTCTAATTTCTGTCTAATTCTCAAGCAAGTTTATATTTGCAGATGTATGTAATTTTTTCTTTAAACCTCAGAGTTTGATTTGGTTTACAAAGTATAAATATATAAACATGTCAAGAATTTCAAATCTCTTTTTTCATGTTGAGTCTTCTTTACTTCAAATTAAAGAGAAGAAAGATTGTACCAGATCATGTTTTTTGCCTGATTCTACTTACCAAATCAGAACAGTCATTAACAGCAACAAGCTTTCCATAAATTTTAAAAAGAATTATTACAAAAATGAAAGATGAGTAAATTTTTGGTGTAATTGAATAATAGGCAGGATTAGTTCATATTGATGGGCTGCCTGTTGTATTGCTTCCAGTTCCTATTCAGTACACTGTTAAAAAGGATAATTATTAAAAGGGCTATAATCTACATGTAGCTGAAAGGGTGACAACATTGCTTTATACTTTTCCCACTATATATCACAACAAAAATGTATTTTTGATACAGAACAATGAAATCTTAAAGCTGAAGAAGTTTAAGCAGAAATGATGGGAATATGTAAAAATATATTAAACAAAAAACACCCCACCCCTTTCATCCAAAAATCTAAAAATTGGAAGATATGAAAACTAATACCAACCTGCAGCTTTCAGTTTTCCTTCAACTATCTTAAATAAAAAATTGTCTCTGTTCCAAACTTATCTCATTGTAAAATTACATCACCAGAACTGGACTATCCAATTGAATATGAATATCCAACCAGAGGCCAGAGGAGGCAGAAAGTGCCTTTTGTTCATAGTGTCATAGAATTCCAGGTTCTAGCAAGTAGAGTGTGCTCCATGCCCACCCTTTACATAAGTTTCCTACATCTCATTCATGCCTATCAGAGCTTTAGATAACATTACATTTATATTTGACGAAAAATCTTTCTTGCAACAAGGCTCAACTCTCTACTAGATTTGGGCCTGGTTAAAGGTGACAACAACATTTAGTTAATTCTGGGAACAAAACTTCATAATTGGTACTTAATTCAAGATAGGCAAATACCAAAAATTTACTCTGGAGAATTAACAATAAGCTCCTCCCTTTGCCTTTATCACTTCGAACATTTCCTAATTGCAGCAAAATATAATCTGATGTTGCTTAAAGCCACCAAACTGAGGTCAGGTCCGTGTGAACCGTGGGGGCCGGGCGGCTGGATCCCCCCGATAATTGTCAAACTGTGGTATAATTCCAGTACAGCAGTGTACTGAGTGCTAAGGAATACAAAGAGTAGCCAATCCCGCCCCCCCCCCCCTAATATGAAATTTCATTACAACGGCACTTGGGGTGTAGTAAAAAAAGGAAATTCCGGAGGAGAATCTCCGAACCTCCTCCTTTTTACTCGGCTCACTTACCTCACCTACATTTTCATGCCTTTGTTTAAAGTTTCTGCTAACTCCCCCTTTGCCTAGTCATACTTGCGGCATTCCTGTATCCAACGTTCTGACCCGCAATGTTTTACTTTATTCAAAGTACTACATCTTTCCCTAGAACTTCTATAAAGCCTTTTAGGTTGGGAGCATCATTTGTTGTTCATTAGACTTAGTGGGAAACGAAGTTTCATAATTTTTCATCTTTTCTAGGGGCGGGAGGGGGGTGTACGAGTCCCTAAGAAAGTCATGGCCGCTGAGCCCCTGCATGAGATCTTCCAGTTTCCAAGGGGCCAAATTTTTTTAATTTGCCGCCAATTCATTGAAAAGGACAGTCCAAATATGGACGCCTCTAATTGGTTTCAAAAACACGGAATCTTGCCTTGAATCAGGGCCCTAGCAGCATCGAGCCTACCATAGAGCCCCAACCCCCCCCCCCCCATAGTGGTTGTGATTCACGCATTCACGCACAATTTTATGACTTTTCACGCATTCATGCACTGCAAAATTGGTTTTTTACGTACCAAATTGAGGCAATTTTTTAAATTATCATTCAAAATTTCATTCAAGAATTCACGGATAGTTATGGCCTTTTCACGACGTAACCCAAGGAAAACCCACCCTTCACGTAGGAAACTTAATCCCGTTCTACCATTTCTCCCTCAGCACCAACACTGCCCCTTCTGCCTCAATCTTGTGCAGGCGTCCCTGGCAAAGATCATTTACCCTATTGTTTTCTCGATTATTAGTTAATCTCATTTCTTAATTTCAACCAGGGGCTTCATTTGACTTGAGGGTTAAAAGGGGGGCAGAGTCCAGAAGTTGTCAATCTTCCTCCGGCCAAAAAATCTAGATATTAAACCTTCCTCGTTTTAAAGGGTTTAAAATTGGTGCGGTTAAGGAAATTGGGGGTACTTAACCAGTATTGATCCTTTGTTCTTGCAATTCTGTTTTTCAAAACATTTTTAGAAAAATGTAGCATATTTTCAATTTTAGACTTTTTTGGACAGATGTAAAGCTATATGCTTTTATCAATTAACAACAATAGTGTGTCACAACTTAAATATTTAAATTATAAAAAGTTAATGCCTTAATTTTACAATGCAAAGAATTAAAAAAACGTGAGGTTTAAAAATATTTATTGTTTTTTATTATTTGTCTGACTGTGTTTTGAAAACGAAAAGGCAATGTGAATCTTTAGACTTCCTCAAGTTTCCGAATTTTTGGTCACCCTACTCAGTTCCTTTTGTCTCTACAACCTTCCTCTGTTTTTCTGACTCTAAAGAGGGGCTTCTGAATCAGTTGAGAAATATATAAAATATGCTTAATGTTTAATCCTCAATTTCTCCGACGCAAAAAAATTCTCTGCGTAGAAAGAATAAAGGGTGGGGTGGGCCCCCAGATTCTTTACAATAACACCCAAGCATCCAGTTGCTGTTCACCACTGCTTATCAAACGTCCAAAAGTAACATACTAATTTTTTTATCTCGCAGAGGATTGTTTATTCATAATCAGTTGAGAAAAAATGATTCTGTAGCTTTACAAGTCTCCCTCATGCCATTGGATATTTTTGTATGGTTCTTCTGTTAATACTCTTATGTTCATGTTCTATTGTTAAACGAATTCCATTTTTTCCGCTTAAAGGTTTATTTTCAAACTATTGAAAGACTTTTACCGTCCTCATCCCAAAATCGAGACAGATAAATCTATAGGTATTTGACAGATATCGAGACAGATAATCCATAGTAATAAAAAAGTATATAAGTATTTGAAGAGCTTCTAGAAACTTAATTCGGTCCCACACATTTGTGAGTATTTAAGATGCAGTTTCTGGCTATCTCTAGACTGCCATTTTCTCAAAAAAATCTTACGGAGAACAGTGACGTAGATAGGAAAATCCAAAGAAGGAGCGAGAAAATTAGATTTGCCCACAAAAATCTAGCAATTTGAATATAATTATAAATTTGAACACAACATAACGACATTGATAATGAAATAAGACAGCAGATAAACTCTTATCATTCTTTCATAAGTCTAGTGTCATAAATTATAGTACTTGAATATTTTCTGGACTTCACCTATAGACAACCGTGTATAATTTTCGACAAAATCAGATGTTTAGCAACGAAATAAATGACAGAGAATAACCATAGCTTTTTGGGTATAACGATAAAGTAAAAGCTTGCAAATATTTCATAAGATCTTTATCCATGGGCGTAGTGTGTGGGAGGATGTTGGGGGATTAGTTTCTGGCAATTCTAGATCATTATATTTTTAAAATGATTTTGTCATAAGTAAACCATGATGCCAACTTTCATGCCTTAGCAAAGTAGCCCCTCCACGTTTTGCCGACCCTTCAAAAATAAAAGTCACTGTTCAAATCTTATATTTTAAAAGTTTCGGATAATATCAATTATTTCTTTAATGGTTGCAATGAAAATATTTTGCTTTCTTTCAATGAAATGCAGCTTATCCAATGCACCGTTAAATTCATCAGGCAAAATAAGCGATTTCAATTAATTCTTTTTTGCCGCTATCTGATAGATTGGATTCTATGGCCCTGAACTGCCACGATGACGTATACATATTTTGCATTTCGTACTGTATTGCACTGTATTTTGCTACATTGTGCTGTATTGTGTTGTACTGTGTATATATAGTGTATTTTGTAAAGTATAGGAATATTTGTAATGTTGGTTGTAAAGGCAACTCGATAACGTTACGTTTTTGAGTAGAATGAGATAGAAGAAAAGCTTATCTTATTCCAGTGCACAAAATTAGTTGATAGTGGATGCAATTTCATTCAAAACTGTTTGGATAAAAACGTGTTTCACTAAACGCTGTAAATATATTTGTTTTGCTGTAAATCTTCTAGTATATTTTGCAGTATTTAATAATTTTCAAACAGTCTCAGAGCCTATAAGTCAGTTATGAAAGCTTTTTATCAACATCATTTTTTAAAGATAAACTTATTTTTCTTCCTTACTGGGCAATATTTGAGGACTTTTCTCAAGTTAGAGAAAAGAATTAAAATAAAACAAGATGTAAGAACAGATTTGGTTTAATTTAACAATTCGTTGAAAACTATGACTCAACCCTATCGCATAAACACAGACAGACTGTGCCTTTCCCGTCCTGTCGCCTAAGTGACACAAAATTGGCAGCAAACAAAAATTGGCATTTGTTTTTATGGATGATCAAACAAAATTCTAGAAGTATTCGGTGTTGAATATCAAACGGTGTTGAATGAGGTAGCAAGGATGGCTGATATTGCTTCGCAAAAAGGGAGCAGACGAGGGTATGGTAGTTGTGAAGTTTGTAACAAAGAGTACCTAAATAGACGAAAGCCCAAAAACTGCGATTGTGGGTTTGAGTTAGGGGGCTCATTCGAGGCACGAGACACCGTACCCAAAAACAGAAGCATCAAAAGTGTTTTGGTGTACGAGAGAACGTGTGGAACACTTATGTCTGTCCAGGTGACACCAAATGACGACCGCGAATTCGCATTCGTTGCTGATGGCAAAAAAATATGTTATGCAAAGAAATGTCTAAGCTTGCGAGGCAGTTTTGCTGCTGGGAACATAAAAGATTTTTCGTGTCATCATTTAAAACTTACGCCACAGCTTCCCGTGTATGCCACAAAATTCGTCCAAGAAGAAATCAATAGTTTTACACCTGATACCAGCATGCAGGAAAAGATGAAATATTTACAACAGGAAGACTATCCCACTGTCGTAAAAACATCGCCCAAAACGTATGCGGTAATAGCTGAAACTTCTTCTGGGAATCCGATGGGTTACACTCATGTCTCGGTCTGCAGGAAAGGGGAGACATTGAAATGTAACTCTGAGAGCTGCAAGAAAAAGTATGGCAGAACCAAACAGGTATATAAGAACCAGGGGCAGTCTGGCGTCAAAATTGCAGGGTGGCTCGAAAACTCAAAGGGCCCGGTTTAGGGCGTGGTGGAAAAATTGAGCCACATCTTGAAAGTCACATTTTTTTCTCCATATGTTCCTTTTCTAATAGCTTGTTTCTTGAAATCATCTTTTTTCTGGATCTCCATTTGCACCAGGTGTTGTTTTCATTTGGACGATAGGCTGATGGTAGCAATTTGCAAATGCAAGCGATTCTGACATTCTCTAAACGAGAAATCTTGAAAAGAATTGCTCTCCTGCTTCATTTTTGTGTCAACAAATCTTGGCTCTATCATTGCTAAATCCTGATACAGATCTCTATTCTTCGAAAACCTTCTGTCAGTTTCCTCCCATCTGTGTTTAAGGTTGTGACCAGATGGTAATGATGATTCCTATTTTTGACTCCTTGTGACTCTTCTCTTATTTCCTTTTCCGAATATTACACTATTTTCACTTATTGAAGCCCCCTCCCAATAATTGCAGCCCAAGCTTTATGTCCTGTATAACAGTGTACTAAGTGGAAATAGATACAATGAGCAGCCGCCCCCTTCCTAATATGAATTTCGTTCCCACAGTTTAACTTAATTTGACATTAAGTTAAAAGATGTTCTCCAACGTGGAAGGGCCCGTAAATTTTTTGTACACAGGGCCCAGGTGGCGATTACCATTTTGCTACCCGGGCCAGACTGCCCCTGATAAGAAAACTTTTTTAAGAATACGTTTAACATGAATATTGAGGCTCGAAATTGTTTATATTTTAGACGCACTCATACCAACTTGACATTCAGCAAACCATGTATCCCTCCATCTTTAAGAGTATTGATGCTCTGGTTTGCTTAATCAGATAATCTAGAAATAACCAAAGAGGATTTCAGATCTATGAATATATGTTAATGCTTTTCCATTGAAGAGCTGTAGAACAGGACGCCAAAAAAATGGACAAAACAATAGCAAATTAAAAAATGTTGCTATATTTCGCGAGGGCAAGGAGAGAACTATTAAGTTTCCATGTGTATTTCTTTATTCAAAATCTTTATTCGTGTTATCATTCAATCATTATCATCATCATTCAGTAAAGTTACGCAGAACATTGTTCTTACCTCCGGAGATTGAGTAAATTCCATAAAAGATTATTTGGAAAATCAGATAAATCAGACAGTTTATGTAAAAACAGTTAATAGAAACCATTGCCTTTTTTATATACAGGTAACTGCACGAAAAATTTGCATTCATTTGCATTTCGTCACCTTGGCAAGAAAATTAAAGGAAGCTGTAGCTAGAGAAGAAAATTTCCTTGTCACTGGGATTACAGATTTTAATGACCTGCCATTAAAGCAAAGAAAAACACTAGAACTTCAAATTAAGAGGAGCATTCCCTATAAAATATCGCCGGACGTTGTTGCTAGAGCAGACCGTGTTGGTGCGTTAGACCCGGAGCGACGACCTTTTTTCGAGCCCAAAGAGACTACCTGTGAACTTTGTGGTGGTGATCTAGGAGGCTCTCTATATCCTCAAGGGTGTGATGCCACAAATGGGAATGGAGTCTTGCTGACGAATACCCACCCATTTCTGCCCATAGATGTAAAAGTGAAGAAATGCTCCAATTCGCAATGTGGTGCCGTAAACAGTATTTTCCCTTTAGATATAGGTACAGCCTTTAAAATGTGTATTAAATATTGCTGGGTTTGATAAAAATTTAAATATTAAGTGTTTAATCTCAATTTTTATAGAGAAAACATCGGGGAATGAAAGTATGACGAGAATAGTTATCAAGCCAACAAACTACTGGCAAAAAACGCTTACAGCTAAAAATGATGCTATTATAACTACGATGTCTAAATTGTAAATGAATATTATCCTCGTGAGATTAGGGTAAATCTTCTTCTCATTATAGCTCTCATTTTGTAGGTCTTTTCAACGCATGCAACAAGGTTCTGGTGGGCATTGACATTATGCTGGAATGGCGCGAGTTTTTCAAAGATGGGGTCCCTCTGACAAACGTCATTAATCGGAAATTGCTGGCATTAAAACGTAAAACTGCAGAGGTATAAAGCTCATTATTTTATTCTTGTCAGATTGAAAATGATATGCCTATTCTATGTCAATATATTTTTTTAAAGCTATAATGGTTGTTACATTTGTTATTATATGCTGAAAAATATGTGTCGTTTTTGAGGGGAAAGACGTCTCAAATTTTGCATTGCCCATTTATTATATCTAGATCTTACATCCATGTCATGCGAAAATGGAATATTTGGCAGATGTTCTCTACAATGCTTTTTATGCGTTTGAGGCAATGACAGAGAGAAACCTCAATGACGGTATCTGCGGAAAATGTGGAATTGTTGGGAGAGTTTATTTCGGTGACGGCAACGAAAAAAATTGCTGTTCTTTGCGAGAGGTGAAATATTTTTCAAAATTGTTTTGAATGAAATGCGATGCATTCTTTCTGTTTAATATCCTCCAGTTAACATGCCAAGTCATTTTTTCCAGAAAACAATCTTCGACTATCTCACACCGTTATTCGCTGTTGAATGATATTCTGTCCTACCATTGGCGACCTTACTACTATATGTAGTTCAATTCCGTTAGATTTTTATACCCAATTCATTTAGACTTTTTATTGAATTATGTTCACACTACTAATAATAGTAATTATATCCCTACTACATTAAAGGTGGTAATGCTTGACCGAAGTGAAGAAAAAAGTGAAGGCGGATCAGAGACACCTGCTAACAAAGACATGCTTTTGGAAAACTGTTTAGAGAAAGTTCGTCTTTTCATGATTGAGAAAAACACGTTTGCAAAGACAAACCTTAAATTTTCAATTCGAATGGAGGACATACCTCCAATATTGCCTTCGAAACAGCGTCAGGCTGAAATAAATACAGAAAAGGATAAACGAAGCGTTTACCTTAAAAGCAATGCGACAAAAGTCGAAGGTAATTTATGTTTCCTTCATTACTGTAGGATTGGAAAAATCCACCATTAACACTAATCCTTTTTGTAAAGTTTAAGCTTTCTAAACTTTTGAAGTATATGAAACTATTTTTGTCAGTTTTGGCACCACGTAGTATTTTCAATGACTTTGTTACATGTGGCTCTTAAAATGTGAAAAATCACAAGTCAATCTTTCGTTAGCTTGGAGGGCATGCAATGGGTGTGCATCCACAGAAACAAAACTGTAGGAACATGATTCTTCCTTGAATATGTTATGAATGGAGCATGATAAGAGTGGCATTGTCAGTGTGGGCCAGCATTGAATCTGCACCCATTGGCTGGCCGGAAAACGCTCTTTTTCAAAAAGGTTTGTGGCTATTGGGGGTACGCCGTCCCTTTGTCCCCTTTGCTTCCCTACTGCGATGGAGGAAGAACCCCTTAAAGGCGATTACTTGTGTTTAAGTGTGTAAATACATTAAAAAGGATATTTGGTCTTATCCAATAACGGACTCTCTCGTCACAAAGGTGATGCGATTATCTTGGCGGACAAAATGAAAAGCATGGCTATCGGCGAAATCTCAGACCTAGACACTGAGTCACTTATTGGCATCGCATCATCCTGCAAAATTAGAACCCAAGGAAAGTCGAAGGTTAGCACTGTTTCATCCGGGAACCTTATTACAAAAAACTGATTTCGAAAATTTATTTCGAAAACTGATTTCAAAACCCTTGTTTTAAGAATTTATTTATTGTGCTTTATTGTAGGACATGTTGAGGATCCAGCTACAAGAATTATATGCAACAATTCTTGTTGGCAGCTCAAGTTGCCACGGCTTTACTAAATCCCCAGGCCACACTGGTGGTTTTTATCACATAGTCTGTCCCCATGGGGTACGTATTATACCTCGTTACTATGGGATGAACTAGAAGAAATTTTTGTTTTTAAGGCTTTGTTTGATTTTTGCCCCATTCCACAATTTAGCATGACAACAAATCATTTCTGACATTTTTACTTAAAATTGAAAAATTGTGCATAGAACTAACTAAAAGGGGGATTAGTATTACTTACATAGTAACAAGTGCTCGATTAAGAAACTTTTAAATTAAATCAAGAAAATGCAGATGTACCTGCGATCGCTCATTACATTTTTTGGTTTAAGTTATATTAATATACTAAACTAGCCATTTTATTACTCTTTAGACAACTGTTTGCTCAAAATTTATGATCCTGACGGAATCTGTCAGGGATGCTGCAGATCTATGGCTGTCACTCCGATATCCACCAGTTTTGTTCATTTGTGACACACCCTGTACGTTTGTGCGTCATATGAATCTCAGGGATCCTGATATGGCCAGAATAACGTGGGGAGAAAATGATGGCTGTTTTGAAAAGCCGAAACTAGAAGCAATTCCAACATCGGTATGATTTTTAATTGAATTTTTGTTGCTTTTATATTTTCTTTGCATTCTCAGGGCAGTTTCTTTTGTGGTGGCTTCCTTTACATACATCTTCTTTAAGAAACTCTTATTTTTGCTGTTGATTTTAACAGCTTTTTCAAGCTTTAAACCATCCGAAAAAATTTTCTGTCAAGCTCGCGTGTACGTGGTACCGGTTTCATTTGGAACCCTTCTGGAAAAAGAGTTTCAAGATTCAAGAACCCATAGCTCTGAAACCCTTCTGAGCAGTGATGGAGCCACGGGGGGAATGGGGATGACTACACATCCCCCACATTTTCAGAAAATTGGTCCTTGAGATTTTTGCAAATCCGATGAGAAAACTTTGTGGGAGGGGGGGGGGTATGTGCGTTATCTAGATCGTCAGAAGCTTTTAAAAGGTTTTACTACTAGCACTTGATTAAAGGTCTTTTTATGGTTTTTACACACGTAAAATTCTAATTCCAAAACTTTGAGATTAAGCTTCAGGCAATAATGTTTATTGCCAAGGGTCAATTAAATGGCAATTCTTTCAAAACAAGGGGTGTTTCCTATGAAATAAAATGCTTCTCCAAGGAAAAAAGGGCATGGCCCAAAAGTACATGGTCTCGGACCCCTTTGTGTCCCTTCCACTTATCCCGGGCTGGAACTGCCACTGCAGTTCTGAGGGGTGTCAGAACTATGGGTTCTGAGGGGTGTCAGAACTATGGGTTCTGAGGGGTGTCAGAACTATGGGTTCTGAGGGGTGTCCGAACTATGGGTTCTGAGGGGTGTCAGAACTATAGGTCTTTGTACTTTGAGTTCTATGGGTTCTAGGCTAGTTATAAAATCATCAATTTCAACCTTTTAGACTTGTCTGTTTGGACAAGAGGGGTTCAAAGATTATACATATTTTGTTTTAATTCTAGGGCCTGAATGTACCATGTATTGTGCCGGACGAGTTTCGGAGCAGTGAACTGGATGCAATGTCACACAACATTCATGAAGATAAACGTGTACACCCTCTAACTGGAGAAAGCCGTAGGTTTGTTTGTGGTGATAGGTTTCATTCCAAATCAAACCCTCACAAGTCCCCCCTTTGTGCCTATCATAACATTGATCTGTGCCTCCAAGCATTCACCATCAAAACAAGCTACCAGGAATCACAAAATAAGAAGAAAAACACAAAAAGGAATAGATCTTCCTGCATGCAAAGTATCTCGACGCACATCTTCTATAACTATTTGATGGACTTTTATGAAAATGAAGAAATCGTTCTCAAGCAACAAAGGGAGCTGAAGGAAGCAACAGGACAGAATGTTATCAGGGATGAGTATATGCGATTCAAAGTAGATGACAGTGTATAAATGGCATGGCTTCGTTTTGTAAGAACCAGTATGTTGAAATTCGGGCTAGTTATTTAATTTTCCAAAAATATTATGCTAGATTTTTCTAAATCTTTTCTTAAATTCTAAGCTTGTAACCAGTGAATTTGACAGCTATTGTGCTCATGGGGAGTTTTCAGGCCCCATTTGCGAGCAAAGTAAATTGGCCATCTTTTATTGGTCGAAAAGTTTGAAAATTCACTGACGCCTTGTTATTTAGAAAATTAGCCGTATCGGCTTGGAAATACTTTTTTAAAAAAATAAATGGAAAAAGTGAATTGCTGCATGCACCTAATATCTGTTGAAAGAGTTAAAAGCCTATATGATTTTTACGATTTACTTGCAAGGCGAATTTAAACTTTTCAGTTTCGCTATATCAAACTTTTCATCAGAACCTTTTTAGAATAAAATTACGAATTTCGCTTTTCGATTAACGTCAAAGACCTTACAATCTTCAAGTTATATCATTTTCGGTTTTACACTCTTGTTAGTTTGTATCGTTTGTTACTAGCAATTTGCTTTGTTTAATGTTCACATTAATAATCGCGGTTGTTATTAGTAATCATTAATATCATTTCATGGCTTGGAAATACTTTTATAAAAAAGTCAATGGAACAAATGCTGGATTCACTGGATGCACCTAATGTCTGTTGAAAGAGTTAGAAGTAAAATAACATCCCAATGACATAAGCGTCATGGCATAAAACGAAATTGCGTGAAAGGACATCGGAGGGGCTAAACATTGCCAAGCTCTATAGGATATTGCATGTTGTGTCATCCGGAAGGCATGCTATAGTTCTTGGAAAGAATCACTAAGGATGAAAATAGTAGCTAGAGAGACGAATGAATGAGAGAAACCAAATATTTACATGTTCCTGAAAACGAAGATCAATATTGCTAGCCTGGAGACTTGATTATAGAACACCTACTAGCGAAAAATTAGTTGTCTTCTTAATACAAGGAAACGGATATTTGTCACGCAGACACGAAGGAAAAAATACTTGGAAACCGAGTTAGATCTGGATATTTTCCAACCTGGTCTAAATTCTCCGCAGACTGTTTTCGAAAACGAATTGGAATCACATCTAGATGCTTCTTCGCTCATTTTTTTCGATAAAGAGAATGACATTCGGGTAACAGGGGCGTCGACATTCAGCAAATCTAAAGGGTGTGGTCGCAGAAATAAGAATACAATAAAAACATCTAAAAATAAATTTAGATTGTCTATGTTAAAAAAATCTACACCGCACTTGCCTTGCGTGGTGCCGCCACCTTTTGTCACTTAAGGATGGCAATTTGCCCAACAGCTAAAATAAAAAGAGAGCGAAAAAGTGATAGCATTAAAAGGAAGACATTTTGAGAATAACGGTGATTGTCAAAGATGGCCAGCTACGAAGAACCTAGCGATGATCAACTGTTGGCTGACTCCTTGTCCAGCAGCTACAACGAAGTTCGGCCAAGAAATAGGTTTTATGTCAGAAGAGACAAAACCTTTTATCGTCCAATAAAAGAGGCAAAAGATGGCGGCGAGAAAGACCCAATTTTTATCGAATGCGTAATCAAGATCAGAGGATTCTTGGAGAATGAGGATAACAAGATGGGCGGGGCATGGATATGTTCCTGCAGGGGAATTTCGAAGACACTCGAAATGGTAACAAGGTGAGAATTTTACAATCTTTTTAACTATACTTCAAAGAAATAGAATTCTGTAAAATTCAAATTGCATTACAAATAGCTTTTTAGTGTCGTCATCTGATATAACATTTGTAAAAGAAATGAAAATATTCAGTATTTTCTAAGAATTTTGAACACTTTTTGTATCAAGAACCTCTCTCTACAAAGATGTATTTCTTCCTTACTTTGGGTTTGAAAATTTTAACGCGCAAACTATTCATATCTAGGACCATTGCGTTGAGTTTTGGCGCATTCCAGTCGTTAACGAAGTTCACGAAAGAATTACATTCCTCGTTTGGAAATGGTCTGGTCGTGAATGGAGCAATCACTCGGGCGGACTTAACTGACTACCTCCTGTACTTAAAAGACGAATACTATACGGGCAGTCCAAAAAAGTTCATTGCTGTACATCAAGTCGGGTACATGGGGGACGACTATTGGTTCCTGGCTCCAGAGGTAAAACTAATTTTAAAATGTTTCGGCAATTATATCTGCTACTTTAGATTATCACAGTAGTTTTCAGGCATCACGGAGCAGCCGTTTTCAGACACCAACGTTTAGACAAAAATGCAAAAAATGTGTGAAAATAGACCGCTTTCAATTTAGCTCCCCCCCCCCACTTTTTACCGCCCCCCAACATTTCTGTCAATGCATTTACCTCCACATTTATATTTTGGAAGGCTTATGATGTAGTCCTATATTTGGGAACTTCAATAATTAAAATGAATCCATAGAACTTTACAAAGTTGATGTAAAGTTTATATAGAAATGCAGAAATGTTAGTTGTGCAGAGTGATAACGGATTTTGAAAATAAAATTGTAATTCTATTCACATCCCTCTATATATATATATATATCCAACAACGGTCTGTGCAAGCAGCTTCTTAATTTGTATATTGCCTTGTAGATCCAGATCAGAAGAAATAGATTGCTTGGTTCCAATGAATGGAAATATATAGTTGGAGCGGGGGAAGAAAGACTGGGAAATCTTTTCCTAGAGATCGACGAAGATCTTCATAATGAAGATAATTGCAAAATGGTGAATAGAAGGTATAAATACACTTTATCGTGACTGCCATATGATTCTATGCACCACAACCAGCCGAATTTGCTGCTCGCCATTGTAGGTAAACACGTACTGGTTCCAGCCTCGCACTTCACAGGGTATAAGAAACAGTTTTCAGGTTGGGGGCTACAAAGGCATAGGTCTATTGCAACAGAAAAAATACATTTTTATAACTAGATTACCACTTTTGCTTATTCCAGCTCTTTCAAAATAAAATTACATCTCAAATCACTTTTCTCAACAAATCTTATCTCAATACAGTGGAACTCCGGTATCCCTAACTTTTGTTTTGGCTATCCCCAACATCTGAGCACATTTTACTCAAAACAAACAAGCTGGATTCAAAAATTATAATGTTCGTTATACCGGGAGGATTTTTAAAGAGTTTGTTGGGCAGAATCCAAGGGACCAGAAATTACGTTCGTTATATCGGGAAATTCGATATATCCGGGGTTCGTTATATCAGGATTACACTATATATCATGGAATTAAGACTTGACTTCTCGAATACTGATGGTGGAAAGGTCTTACTGCGATTTACTGCGAAAAAGTTCGTATGATTCTTATTGGTCCACTGTCTTAGGATTTTAGCGGACTAAAACTCTAAAAGAGTTACTTTTATCGGCCAGGTTGACTTACCACCTTTCTTTACAGTAAAAATATAACCAATAGAGAGTTGGTCTAAGATTGTTAGAAAATGACGAAAACCATACCAAAATTTAAGTAACCATGTCATGTCAATATAAATACGTCATCCTTCTGTATTAAACTCTATTACAAAAGTACCCTAAACTGGAATTATTTGTCTGTAGGCTTGCTGACTACATGACTCATTATGGTGTTAATGAAGATTCAGCACGTTTTACACTTTCCTTTGCTTTGGGAAGATTGTTACAACTCTCAAAGGGGAAGAGAGTACTCAACGAAACAGGTGAGCATTACAGGGGTCTTCACTTCAGGGTAAATACTCTTCAATATCATCGGATAAACTCTATTGAATAATAGAGTACCATCAAGAAACTTAATAAAATTCTCATATTTCTAAAGCACAATAAACGACATAATATCTACAGCATGCAAATTCTGGTCCTATTAACTAAATTTGTGGATGAGGAGATTATAAAGAGCATACAAAAAACAAGTTAACTATTTGTGGCACTGGGTCTTATTACAATGGAATTGCTTTAGTTCCATAACGTTTAAATGCTGAATAAAAAAGCTAACAAATACATGTTTATCCTGATCAGGCGAGGCAAACATGCTACTGCTATACGGCCCTAAAAATGTCGGAAAGACAATGACGCAGCATGTTGTTCACTACGGGCAAGGAGGTGGAAGTCTGACTCATGATCTTCTTCTTTCTGGAGGCAATAGTATAACGTCAGGATCTTCAACGTGAGCAATTGAATCAGTTTCTTTTTTTAAAAATTGAACAAATAAAAATTAAGAAATTGTTTCATCATAAAAAATTAAGAAATTGTTTTAGGAATGTAGATAGTTCTGCAGGTTGTTGAGTTATTCATATTTCAAAATGAAAGCCATGTTCTTTACCATTTTCTTGAAAACCTTTCTATTTGTGACAGGCTTTCATATCAAGAGATCTGTAGAAGGTCGACAATGATCTTGAACATAAATGATACAAAAAATAATGAGCTACAGGCAGAAACCTTGCTCCAGATGCATGAGAAGTTGCAACAAGGCTCGGTGAAGCGGGGCATGGGTGTATCAAAATGCTGTGGCGTCATTTTGTCTTCAAATTTCCCAGAGCCTGAAAGGTAAATAAAAATACATTATATTTCTTTTGATACATTCTTTTAAAAGAATATTGGAGTTTCTAAGTATCTTATTAATTTTATTCTAGACTTGAAGGAAGAATACTCAGATCCAATTTTTCCAGAAAAAAAATAACTGAGAATGACACAAAAATGCTTGAGGAGATGAGAGACCTGTGCAAAAGATACAAAGTGAGACGTTTAAATATTTTACAAATAAGAGGCAAAAAATTTACAAAATTCAATTAAAATGTTTACATAATAATCATTGTATACAACAAATTAAATGATGTCAGGAACAGAAGAGACTTTGGTAAGTAATTTGAGGTGACATCTGGAAAATCATTATCCCAGATAACTAGGATGAAAAGCTCATATTATACAGTCATTCAAACTCTTAGAAACTACTTTTTTAATAGCCTACTGTTAATAGAAATATCCATATCATTTGAACCAGGGTTTCTTAGTTGCATGGATCTTGCATTTTGGAAGCAAATGGCACATAAATTTTGAAGATGGGAAGAATCTCATCAGCAAAATTTTGATGAAGTGCTTGAAAGGAAAGCAATATCGATGGTGCGATGGGATGGCACTTTCCTTGTATACAAAAAGTGTGGTAAGACTGTAATAACCATATACCTGATTAACATGTGGTTTGAGTTGATATTTACGATTGCCAGGAATGCATCAAGTAGCCCCGCAGATACAAATCTTAGAGGCTTTTGTTGAAGTATGAGCAGTAGTAATTACAGGTAAAGAAAAATGGACATATCATAACTGTGTTGAAATGGAAATAGTAGTTGTAGAATATTGGATGAAGGACAATGTGTCTCTGATGAAACGTAGAAAGAGGCAAGACATTTCTAGCACTGTTTAAATTTAGAAACATAGTTTAAAATGGTCTAACGTTGTTGTCTTATTTTTATCCAACATTCTATTCACAGTACTATCAGTCTCTTGGCTGGCAAGGAGATCTGGTTGAAGACATCAAAAAATGTATTGATGATCAACCAGAGGAATCATTAGAAGAAAAGGAGGTTCTGGAACGGGTAGAGCACAATATCATTAGCAAATTACAATCTAAAGACTCATATGTGAGTAAACTTTCCTGACCTAACACAAGTAAGAATCCTGATATTAACACCATGTAACAGTTTTGTAGAAAATGAGATGAAAAGAGGCAAGAAATGAAAAGAAAAGAGGCAGAAAACATAAGTAAATGCATTATACGTAAACAATGAAATTTGCATATTTTTAAAAATTTCATTTATCCTACAGTCTACATCAACTTTTACCTCTGAATCACTTGGAGGGGCTGAGTACATGTCAAGCTACTTCACTTTAAATCTGCAAACCAGTATAGGTGTGTAAAAGTAGTTAATCTTTTATCAGGCCCTCTCATGGCTAAACTGGAACACTTCTGTGAAGATGAAGCATACAAACAAGTATGTGTCTGCAGTGGCAGTAAAGGCAGTGGTTTTCAGAGAGGAATTCATTGATATTAGGAAAGAGGTAATTTTCACTTCAGAAAGCACTACTTAGTTGTCTGTAGATCAATTGATTTTAAAATGAGCTTTTATTATATTCAAGAAAGTGAGTGGCCAAAATGAATATGCAAATGATCACAGTATGCAATGGATATCTTCCAGCCTCTTCCTTCTCTTTTATTGAACTTATAAACATTAGCCTAGAGAATCCTCTCATAAACATGGAAAGGTAGTCAGCTACAAACCAAACAAGCCTGTACACAAAATATGAGGATATATCTAAATGTACAAAGATGCAATTCTTAAGTGAATCAATTATTGCCTAATTAAAGTATCTATTTTCCAAGGATTTTGAGAGAGAAGTCAAGGGGATCTGCGAAAATGCAATTGGCTGCCCCATTTACTTTTCTAAAGAAAATTTTGAGTGCACGATAGCAGAACAGCGCAACAGGTCAGCAGAAAGGACAGAGCCAAAAAAAGGTATCTATAGAAGAGAATTATGTGAAAATAAATTATATAAGACATAGGACAAAGAAGTTGTCTTAAGGTTTTGCCTTACAATTAAAAATTAATATTCAGGAGCGAGGCCTGCCCAGTGCCCCTATCCTGATAGCCATGCCTTAAACTTAAAATGGAAAAAGTTCTGAAGCATAGCTATTTTCAAAAGATGTTTAGAATTGCAACGTAGAGAAAACTTTCACTTCAAAAAATCATCAAAAAATTCATTTTCTTGTGTTCTTATGTGAAGATAATGACATACAAATTACCACATTGACAAACACACCTGAAATATAAACTCTCAGTAATTGCAGTCTGGCACCATATGTTTTAAAATTTTATTTCTTCATTGTCTCTGCTCTGAAAATTGATAGCGAAATACAAACATACACCAGCCATAATTTTTGCAATGCTATTTTTTCATAATGGTAACAGTTAAATACACCATTGGGATATAAAGAACTTATACAGTTTCCAAAACTTTCCAAAGGACACAAAATTCCAAAGTCAATGCTGTCAACAGCCTTACAAGAGTGGATGAATGAAGGTTTGGAGTTTCTCATTTTACAGGATACATTTTCACCAAGACAAAGATTCAAATCTATCTTATTTCAAAGTCTCTCCATAAGCTCTCTTGGCATCTTCAGTGACTTATGACATTCATTCTTTGCAAAGTATGACTCTCTTTCCATCGATAATCAACACAAACAATATGTCATATCTACTGGGCAACAAGGCAGAGCCCTTGGGGAAGCAATGAGTTTGCTTAACAATGATTATAGATCTTAGGAAAATTATTATAGATTCTACAATATGACAATTAATAAAGATTCCATGATTCATGATTATGGGCCCCAGAATGGACCTGGGCCCATGGGCACTTGCCCTGGTAACCCCCTCTATTGCTGACCCTACATGTCTAAACTTCCTATAATGTCCATTTGCATAATTCCAATAAGCATTTGGTGAACTTTTAAAATGTAAAGCAAATGTAAAAAAGGTGAAATTCTCAAAACCTTTTTTCACTTAGGTGATCTGGAAGCAGAAATTAAGATTCCTGAGACAGAAAGAAACTGCTGTGAACCATCATCTGTTGACATAGATCTGGTGAAAGCTCTGGAAGAGCAGATCATAACAACACTGCGAGGTAATATTCAACTTCTGATATGGCTTTGTCAAGTTACCATCAATTTTCTGTGATATAGAAAATTTATGAAAAAAATTAAACAGCTTTCGAATTTGAGACATTATTCAATTAAACAATCTAACATTATCCTAGCTGAAACTGATGAAGCAGAGACACAAGGTGAAGCCTCTGAGGTTCAAGTAAGTCTCATAGTTACATATAAAGATAAAAACTTATTATACTTTATTATACTTAATCACTTTATTATACTTAATCAAATTAATAATTGATTGTACATGAATAACACTTATAATTGACTTGCAAAATTTTAGAAAAATCTATTTACAAGATTTTCCAAGTTTGGAGATTCCAGATAACGTCCTTGTTCTTATTCTAAAGGATATTATGTCACCGTTTACCAAGTCATCCTATGAGACCTGGACACCAAAACGACGAGCATGCTTTGAGAAGGTGAGATTCTTTCATTTTACTTTGAATATCTGGATATTAATATTTATGACATTAATTGATCAATATACTAAAATCTCTTGTTAAAATCTGTTCTTGCAATCTAATAATTCTTGCAAATGCATCTTCATAATCTCATTCAAAAAGCAAGTCTATTGTGTCATTCTGCAAACCCCTTTATTGAAAATGTAGATCATTTTTTTGTAATTCTTAAATGTTTTATTTTGAAAAATATCATTCAATGTGATTGAAAGGGATTCAAATATGCATTCAAAAAAATGAAAGAAGCAGAGGAAGAGGGGAATCCTGGCGATGAAGTAAATGATCCCAGTGACGAAGAAATTGAGCAGACCAGGAGGCAGCTGTTTCCAGAAGGAGTTTTTGGTGTCCTACCATGTTGTAAGTGTCAAGTTTGAAACATCTGTGATATTCTTATATAAACATTTAAAAACATATTAGCAAAATTTATTTCTCAGGTTACAGTCATTTGGTAAATCTTTTGATATGTGACAAATTTGATTAAAGGCCTCCCCATCACATAAAATGCTTCATTTGATTGCACTTTTGACTTCATGTACTTCCTGGCACCCTGGTCTACTGCATTAGATGATTTCATTTAGCATTTAATTAAATGAGAACATAAATCAGATAACTGATGAATGATGGGGAAAAATAGTAACAGATCTAATTGAATATAGCCACAATATTGTCTCTGATATAGAGGGACAAGAAGGACTACCAATTATCATAACATCACTATAATATAATGAATGTGATATACCCTCCCAAATGAACATCATTTGTCACATATTGCTTGCCTCCTTCTCTAAAATTAGCACACAATTGTATTCACTTGCCTACTTTAAAGGTTTTATATTGCTTTCAAACTAACAAATCAACATTGTTAAAAAAAGTAATTTTTTCAAGCTATGTCAACTCCAAAACAAAAAGAAGACATGCATGATCACATAAGTGTAACCACAGGTTAGATTCAAATTGTTCTTGTACTGCAGATCTTGTAAATTTGTCTCAATTTATCATGCAAAGCTAGATTGTATAAATAGCCAGGCAGAGGACAAGGTATATTCCTGTCAACTATACAGTCCACTGGCTGGTGTGCAAAATGCAGGTACTACTAATACAATTATTTAGTATAATTTGTCTTACATTACAAGCTTATGAAGGAACTCATATAAGCAAACATTTTGGGTTTGATAAATTCTCAGTAGAGTTTCCTTTGCCAGCAATAGCTTCAAATATTGTAGCTAACTACACTTTATATATTATGCTTTCTGTCTAGAAACATCAGGTTATAAAAATTTCATTTTTCAATTTGCTTATATGCTCTATCATTTTTAATGAAACTATATTTTTTAGAAAAAATGTCATCAGATGAAAAACAAGAGAAAGAAAAAGAAAGCAAACTATATAAATTCTGCATTTGTCACAAGGTATTTTGATTAACATCAATTAGATCATACAAAGTTCAAGCCATTTTACAGCCATATGTCGATGATTGTGTAATTTAACTTTGACAAAATAGTCAATTTATATCTTTCATAATTGTAGAGGAGGTATGGGAGAAAATGGATTATGATCGAATGTTCAGGTGACGTAGCAAATGTAAGTCTCATTACATCTTGACATCATGACATATTGGCAACGTGTTCATGATTCACTATATCTGACTTTAACATGTATCAAATTCTATTACATTTTTAAAGATGTATCCTAGTAGCAAAAAATTCTTGTTATATTCATCGGGAAAGTGCAATTTTCTTTGTGCTTTATACTTCAGCAATTATCACACAGCTGAATTCAGATTGAAACATAATTACTGTTACTCAAAAAACTATTTACCTTGCAGCCTGTGTTGTAAACTTCCTGGCCTCAAGGCAGCACCCTCCCCTAGTCCCCACAACTCGTAATGAACTCATATGCATTCATGTTTACCAATCAAAAATGTTTCTCACTACATTTCCAATCTTTTTTCTAGTGTCCAGGAAGCAAATGGTTCCATATGGAATGTGTTGGGATGTCCGAAAAGCCACCCAAAAGCGAAGACTGGTAAGTTTAAGTTTAAAGCCAAGCCAGTGTGACCAGCCCAGCCAGATTTGATTGAATTGAATTCCTCAAAAATCCTAAGTCGAGTCAAAAAAAATCATAGAATTGAATGATTTTTCGATTGAACTTCCAAGGTCATCATAATATGATTCAAGTATTACCTTACAAAAATCTAGTTTAAGAATGTGTGGATTAAGATCACATGGCCTAGAAGAACATCATAGAAAATACCTTTGAATTCGCAAAATCTGGTAAGTATGGTAAAAATTGGATGATATATACAGTTTGCTAACAGATCTCTTCTTGTTTGGCTTGGTTCATAAAGTTCAGAGCCAAAACACTTAGCCGAAGTCAATTTTCTCACCCTTTGCTTTCAATATACGGTAGGAGTGGGGGTTTTGTTATTGGGTGCTCTTTATTTGAAACCGGTGCCGATTCTAGGCAATTTTATTGATATAAGGAAATACTCCTAGTTACTAACTAAACTCTCCTTTAGTCAAATCAATAGTTCTATTATTTTATCTTGGTTATATATCTATACTGTTATTATCACATGATTGGCAGACGATTACGATTATCAAAGTAATTTTTTCATCCATCAGGTTCTGCGTGGACTGCATGCGGGAGAGACAACCAGGGTTGGTAGATTCTTGTGGGGCTTCAAGCCAAATCGATGTTGGAAAAAAGCCAAATTAAGCCAAAATGTAAACGAGGCGGCAAAACAATAGAAAATTTCAAGTAGTAAACGAGGCTAGAAGTAACTTTTTTGTTCAATCCATAGGGTGCTTGACCCCCTTTAACCCTTAGGCAATTCTCTACCCACGGCTTAAATTTTTCACTATTGTGGAAATGCTTAGGTATTCTTCAACTGACTGATGGAACACTTTCATTGTATTCATAGAATTCTAACACATGATGTACATGTAAGGGAACGCATTTTTGGTAAAATTAAAACAAAGCAAAAGGGGAGCAAACATAAAATTTTAGGCTTAGCCGTTTTTGCTATCAGAATATTTACCCTTCCTTCAACATTTTATCATTGGATTTAGATGAAGTAGAAAGTCAGTCCATACGACACAACCGTCTCCAAGTCCCCCTCCCCCCTTTTCGCATCGCGGTCATTAAACCCTGCTTCAACAGGCAGAAAGAACGAAGAACAAAGCGAAAAACAACGTAGCAATTGGACAAGGTGGATAAAATCACAGATGTTCAACAAAGTGTCTAAATCACAATAAAATATGTGCATTAACTGCTTGAATTGTCAATTTCTGTTAGAATGATGAAAAAAGAAGGAAGGTAGGAAATAAGTACTTATGCCTGTACTTGTGGAAAAAAGCCAAAATTAAGCCAAAGAGTGACTTTAAGCCAAAAGGAATTGTATTGTATTGTATCGTGTAGATTATTTGATTTTGGTTGAAGTGACGTAGTATTTTTGAATTCATAATTATTATTTTTCTCTGTCGCCCATAATATATCGTTTCAAAGTTATTTTATTTACAGAAAAGAGTCGCGTAAGAGTTATACATAATGAGGGAAGGATAAATGAAAATAATATCGTCAAATCCTTGATTAATTTGGCTCCCTTCTGCAACGGTGTATGGTCCTAATGAGGACCGCAAATGCGAAATACCCGACGATCATGGCTTGAGCCAAAGTGCCTTTATAGCAAGAAGCACCCTGAGAAACCCATATTGCTCAGGGTCTGTTGAGTGTGGGTGAAACTAAAAGACTTAACTACTGGAACCGAAATATCATTCTATAAGGCTTCAGTACTGGAACCCTCGGAACCCTCGGAACCCTCGGAACCCTTATTGCTCTGTGTCTGTTGAGTGTGGGTGAAACTATAAGACTTAACTACTGGAACCTAAATATCATTCTATAAGGCTTCAGTACTGGAACCCTCGGAACCCTCGGAACCCTTATTGCTCAGTGTCTGTTGAGTGTGGGTGAAACTATAAGACTTAACTACTGGAACCTAAATATCATTCTATAAGGCTTCAGTACTGGAACCCTCGGAACCCTCGGAACCCTTATTGCTCAGTGTCTGTTGAGTGTGGGCGAAACTATAAGACTTAACTACTGGAACCTAAATATCATTCTATAAGGCTTCAGTACTGGAACCCTCGGAACCCTCGGAACCCTCGGAACCCTCGGAACCCTCGGAACCCTTATGGCTCAGTGTCTGTTGAGTGTGGGTGAAACTATAAGACTTAACTACTGGAACCTAAATATCATTCTATAAGGCTTCAGTACTGGAACCCTCGGAACCCTCGGAACCCTTATTGCTCAGTGTCTGTTGAGTGTGGGTGAAACTATAAGACTTAACTACTGGAACCTAAATATCATTCTATAAGGCTTCAGTACTGGAACCCTCGGAACCCTCGGAACCCTCGGAACCCTCGGAACCCTCGGAACCCTTATTGCTCTGTGTCTGTTGAGTGTGGGTGAAACTATAAGACTTAACTTCTAGCTTCAGTACTGGAATCCTTTTCGAGCACCGTGTGTTGGATTGGATACAACCCAGAGACATTGCTTTTTAGCCTACTCTATACATAGTGCATATTCTTAGTACTACCTTTACTCTCCTATTGTTATGCAAATTAGAAATTTTCAAATCTACCAATGAAATCCAAGCTTCTTAAAACTTCAGCAAGACCCAATGTGAAGAATGATTTTCAGGACAAGATCTGGTGGATTCGATAACGAAAAGCATGACTTTCGGAGTAGCGATAGGAAATGGAAACCGAAATGTGCAAAAGACGTGAATGTAAGTAATGGTTTAATTATCATGACTAAGCTGTAAACTTCCTCCATGTATTTTCGGCACTACTTGCGAGAATCGTGTGTTTATTATTTTGCCCAATGTTTTGCATGTAATTTTGTTAAAAGCAGGCAATCTTGCCCCTGTCATTGATAGAATTATTCAGGTACTGCCCCTAAACGATTTAAATGTTCCCTATTTTTCGCTGTTTTTGTAATCAATGACAACAAATGCATAAACTGAATTTATAGTAGAGGATTTCATTTTGTTTTACAAAATTTGTAGATAGTAATTAGCATTTGTTGTTAGGAAAAGAATCTGTACTGTCGTGCATTTCCATTATGAATTTCTTGACCCAACATGACCCCTATAAGTTGATCGACACAACAAACATAGGGTGTTTCAAAATGCCAGTAATTAACTCGCCATCCGTAGGTGTGGACGCCACCCAGAAAGCATTGTGAGGGCGACGGCTTTTAAATAGAATTTGCCTGCCCCCAAGTTAAAATCACTTCTACTTTTGAGAGCATTTTAGGAATTGTAGATATCATTCTAGAAATCATTTCAAATGACTTTCTGCAATAAAAAGTTACAATAAAAACCGGTGGCAAAAAGGGTTCGCTATACCAGCCGTGAACGTGTTTCTCTTAATGTTTTACCTCTTCGTAGTTTTGTGCTTAAAGGAAAATGGATTTGCTGCATTGCTCGATTAACAAGAACAATTTCAAATGATTTTATGCTTAATTTTGATGAAATTACACGAAAAACCGGTAGCTAAAAGGAGTCGTTGGCCGGGCGCGAACGTGTTTAATCTTCCGGTTTTTGAAGTGTTTCAATCCTCGCGCCAGAGGCAACAATTATCTAGGCGTCATGATATATTCAAGGCTTTTAGGCATCATTGTCAGACAAATTAAAAAGAAACTTTGAACTTGCATTAATTTCTTTTTGCTACTTGAATGCGTGAACTGCCCCGGCAAACTACGCTTTGTTCACGCTGTTGTTCACTTTTGTCATGTGAATGCCGCATAATTAATTTTCCCAAAGATTCTAGGAAACGCTCGTACGCGATTTTGCCCTCGATTAAGGCCGGTGTGATACTAAAATCTGCGTGGCAACCAAATCTGCGTGGGCCCACTCCAAATCTTTTTTTGCGTCTGGATCATCTAATTTGCATAACAGAGGCCGCTCTGCATGCAGCCCATGCGAAAGCTATTTTGGCGCCTGTACCTTGCATAATGTCATAAAATCTTACAACAGAGGTTCTCTTCAAAAAAGCTCTCGCCCTGGATTAAATTTTTTTTCAATCCCCCAAAGGTTTTTAATCGAGAAAGAAAAGAAAGATACAACATTTTAGTCCAAGATTGATAGCACATACATTCGGCCACAAATTAGTAAAATCAACTAACGAGATAAAATAATTTTGGAAATCAATATTTTGGAAAATAACATCTCTTTGTGCGTTGTAAATACTATGATTTGATTTGATTTCTTAGGGAGAGTAATTAAGTATAAGACCTCACGGAGAAAAATGCTGATATACACTTTTTCTAAATTATAATTTTATTTCAAGAAATTTATAAAAGGCATCTCTAAGGTCCTCAAATTTGATTCCAACTTCTAAAATGGCTGCAAGGGGGAGCAGGAGCAGTTTTGTCCCAGGTTCTCAAGGTCTGTTATCATGGACACTGGAAGTGGAACGACTTAAGAGCAAGGGGACAAGCTTGAGTAAAGGGTCTTTGAAAATAATTTTCAGCTTCTACTCATTCCTCCTACTAACTACTAACTGACATTTTATTTCAATCTTCTGTTCGTATCTTGAAATTTGGCTAACTTTGGCATAAGGATTTATTTTACAAGTTTTGAGAAATGTCGTCATGAATTGAGCACTGCAATCAGAATTTCAACGGAATCTCTCTGATTTTTACAATGGGGCGGTTTCAAGGGTACTTTAATCAAATGGGCACGCTGGCCCCTCTTGCCCCTCCTATCAAAAGGCAACAGGGGCGGTTGACCCTCACGCCCCATTCTCCGGCGTCCCTGTTTGTAATGTTTCGTAATGTAATTCTTTTTTAAGAAAGGAATCAACAAACATAACAAATGCAAAGGTAAATTTTTTAAACAATTGCAAGAAAATTACTGTAAGAAAAATTCTGAAATGTATCCTAAGCTAAACTAAAGACTGGTGTCTTATTAAGTAATAAATTTCAATTTAAATCAGGATTTGTTAAAAGAAACAAAATTACGCCTGAAAATGTAAAGGGTTTAAAATAAATAAATAAATGCAAGCTAAGCTTAAAGGCGTGGTCGCGATGGCCCCTGCCATTGAATAAGCCCCTTATCGTATTATGCGGATTCTTATCCATGATAAATTGAACATATTTGGAGAAATGAAGGTAAATAAATAAAAAGAAATTCCAAAATGCTTTTGACATTGATGTAAACATCGATTTTTTAAAAAAATGTTCAATTCTCATAGTGAATTGAAAAACTAAAAGAGCCTTTGATAATGGGCTAATTAATTTCAATTTTCAGATGATTCTTTTTTTTCCCACCCTTGTTTAAGCCCTTCTCTTCAATTTGCTCTTACTATAATTAACAAACTACCAAAAGAGGGAGGGGCCAATTTAAAGATTTACATAATAAAATTAAAAAAATACTACTAGGTAGAAGTTGCTCAAAAAAGTTACCTTCCAACTATCATTAAAAAATAGTAATATTAAGGTGTAGTAATTACCACTTTGTGCAGTATTGTACACTGGTACCAGAGCAACATAAATTCGAGCGCGGAAATTGGAGGTATTCTTATAAAAGTGTATTGTTTCATATCTTTTTGTGCATACAAGGACGAAGAAATCATCACTAAAGTGGTGGACGCCTGCATTAAGGGGCATCCTAGCGAAGTTTCTATAAAATGCCAAAGAAATTGAAAAGATTGTTTTTACAAGCTCTGATATAGAGCAATAATTTCATAGATA